ATTGTTTTAATTATTTTCCAAACAGTTTGGGTAAAAAAAAAAAAGGGATTACATTTTCTTAAGATTTTTTTCATATTGTCCTATAAATTGAGCAGTGATTATAAGCCAAGCTCTAAACAACTCCCATCTCTACTGGTACTGGCTAGTACAAAGGCATTTATAATGCTTTATGTCAACATACTTCTAAACTGGTTTAGCAAATGCAGATCCTAGTCCTGGTTTGCCTCACTTCTCCAATGGTACGGAAAACTGTTTTCATTTTGCCATTGAGCAAGGAATTGTGTATTGGTAAGAACAAAGAATTAAAAGTGGTGAGAGTTGCTTCCTGGGCTGGCATGAAATCAAAAAATTCAACAACAGTCAATTATTTTATTTTTCTGGCAACCTGAATGCAATGAGAGAAACAAGAATTATACTTACAGAATTCCCCACCAGCCATTTTTTGTCTCCCAAGAAAGTATCCAAATCTTTCAGTAACTCAGGTGCTTGGTTGGTGAGGATATCATCGAATGCTTTTTTCTAGGGGAAGAACAGAACACAAAGATGCACAGCAGTCAACAAAATTGAATTTTTGGGGCTTTCTTACTAGTGAAAAAGAAAGTTGAAATCTGAAAAAAGTGACAGTGAAATCATCTGGTCTGACCCAAACTTTAGAGTAAACTTGGTTCTCGTTGGTGAAAGAAGGAATGTGTTAACATCCAAGTAAAGACAAACATCAATTATTTATTTAAGGTAAGTAAAGAAATGCAGAAGTAACTTATTTGAATACACGCAAAGGAGCACCACAGAATTTAGGAAGGCTGAGGTAATTACCCATGAAGCGGGTTAGATGCCCAAAACACACAGGGTTGGTGGCTCAGTGAGCCATGAGTGAAGCCAGTTGTTCCCCTTCTGAACACCTGAGAGCTCCCGCAGATGCTGAGATGTGTCTGATGTGTGGGGCGATGCTGCTCGTTTGTCTGTGCCGACAGCTGCCCAGCTGCTGCAAGATGGGAGCCCTGCCATAGGGTTGGGAAGAATCTCTCTATAAAATATATTGCCAAGGTCTCATGATCATTTTTTGGGGACTTTTTTTGATGTTTTATTTTCTAGTATAGAGGGTCTCAAGTTTCCAGAATCCCTTAAGCTCAGTCTTTCCTGCTGTCAGTCAGATGCTGGTCAATTATTTCTTCCTAACCAGCCCTTCTCGTGTGAGATGTGGAACGTGGGTTTTGAACTTTTGCTGGGTTTTATCTTTGATCTTTTATGTTACTCTCCTTTTTTTGTCTCTCCAGCAATGAGATTTGAGGTGGCTAAAATGTTTTTTAAAGGCTGAAATCTGTGTTAAAGGGTATGGGCCTGAGTGTGTGTATGTTGATGGATGAAGGATGAGGTGGTGGTGGTCCTCTGCTAGCTGTTCCACACAGCGGGAAGTTTTAAGGCTGCTTTTAAAGGCTTAGCTGTTTCCTTTAGAGAGGAAAGCTGTGTCTGGTTTTCTCTTCTCACCTGCATGCAGGCAACTGGAGCTGCAGATTGTTGTGATTATCTGGTCTGACGCGTGTGGCACAGTTTGTGCTGTTAATGTGTTTGGCCTCATTATGGAGGAACATACTCAGGCTTGGTTAAGTAAGCGCTGCTTTACAGGAACGGAATTATTTCCACAGCTTTGAAGTTCAGGCTTACCATGCTTGGTTCGCTCATTGTTACTGGCTAGCTATCACGATTAAACTTTCTCAGAGGGATGTGTGTTCTCATAATCACTTGTTGGGCGTGGGGAAGTTTTTTGGCTTTTCTGCTTTACAGTGTATAAATTAGTTGAGTCTGGTCTTGTGAGACCGTGAGACGCCACTTCTACCACGAGGTGGTGGCAGCGGACCCGGGAGGAGAGACGGAGAACAGCAGCGAATGGTGAGAAAAACGTCAGAAACTCCCAGAAAGTAAGTTTCTCAATCTTCTCTGGCCCCAGAACACTCCCTTGCATGCCTACGTGCGTAGAGGCATAAAAGGGTTGCCTGTGAACTCTCTTCCCGTTTAAATTAATCACTGGTGACATGATCTGGGTCCTTATTTTGGAGAAGTGCTTGAGTACAAGCAGGCATTATCATGGGAGTTTCCGGGTGAAGGAGCAGCCGTACGATGGCAGTGGCACTGCTTCTATGCTAACACTAACACGTTAGCAACAGGGTGGCTGTTCCTAAATGATTAAAAATCACGAGTCAACCTCCTCACCCCAAATTAGGAAACTTCAGGAAACCACTAGGAGATTGAGTAATTCACATTTTTTACTACTAAACCTTCCAAATACACTTTCAAATTTTGCCCTGCAAGGTTTCAGAGCACTTCCTATTGTTTTGTTATTTATTAGTAGTTTTGTGCAGCATTTTGTACTGTGTGGTTTCTGTAATAAGATACCCTAGTTGATCCGAAACGTTACCTTAAAATAAACGGAAGGTGGCTGCACTGGTAGTTACTAGTGAGACCTGCTGTTACACTACCACTTTCCAAAAAGGGCCAGGTCATCTGCTTGTGTCAGAGCCACATGGAGCCACTCGTAACACGGGGGTGAACTCATCCTTCACCCTCTTCCCCCAGCAGCTGATCTGCGTGCTTGCATTCAGGGCTCTGGTGAGAGGGACTGGACTGACGCCAAAGAAAACCCAACTGCTGCAGGACTTGCCTGTGACTGTGTGTTAAAGTAGCCGTGGCAGCGTGTTAACCTGGCATCAGTACTTGCAGAAGCAGAGGAGTGAGGTGGGGCCCCAGGGATGTGGAGAGCCCAGCTGTGGTGACAGTGAGGGATGTGCTGCCTCCCCTCTTTAGCAGTCCCAGCTGTATCTTAAATCGCTCTGGAAATTGGAAAACGTTTGTACTTGGCAGCTGATGTTATTGAGGACTGATACTTATTAAAACCAAGAAGGAATCAAGATGCAGAGGCATCAAAAGAAGATGGGATGGGGCTGTTAATCTTGTTGAGTTAGCAGAATTAAAACCAAGAAGGAATCAAGATGCAGAGGCGTCAAAAGAAGATGGGATAGCGCTGTTAATCTTGTTAACAGAAAGAGAAAGATTTGAGCTTAGTCTGTTTGCAACAAGATACAGGTATTACACAGTGTGGGAAGTGTCCTGCTTAGTCTGTTTGCAACAAGATACAGGTATTGCACAGTGTGGGAAGTGTCCTGTCTTTCTCTTTTGAAGAGCAGTTTGATGTATGCACACATGGCATCCTTGATTCACGGTGAACCAGTGAGGTTCATGATGGCCTCATTTCCACCAAGGGTGAAAAAATCTGGTGAAGGAGGAGGTGGGAGGCACCAGAAGGCCTTGGTTGGATTAGCCTCGAGGAAGAACCACTGAGCTCCTCCAGCTCTCAGCTTTGCTGAGGTGAGGTGGATGGACCCAGTGGTTGACACCCAGCAGTTTCTCCAGAGGAGATGCTCAGGCACAGAGTCGTGGCTTATGTGCTACCTTTGTTTAAATCAGTGATTCTTACTCTCACGTCCTGGTTTTTCTCTGCCCAAGGGAACAGCGTCATGAAATCATCTATAGTGTCCACAATGGCATCAGCTAGTGCCTGTTCCACAGGCGTCTGACCTGCCAGACCTGTGGGAAGCAAGCA